GACGGGATTATTTAATCTTGCCAATAATAGATAAGAAATTATTCTTGAAGCTTTTTAAACTGTATTTTATTCGGGGAAAGAGTCACAAAACATAACAGTAAAACTTTAATCTATATTGGATAACGTTAGTAACTTCAACCCCGCATTAATCGGAATAATATGATTAAATTATAAGTTCCCCGTTTTTTTTCGAGTTTGAACTCGAAAAGTAGATTTCTTTTCAATCGTTTTTTCCCTAGCAATATAGAAGTTATTCACTTTGAAACAGACATCTAACAACCAAATCCAGCAACATTTAGTTATTAAAATATTTTTTTTCAGAAAATGTGGATAATATTTTGGCTCTCAAATGCATAGCGGGTTCATTTATGCGCAAAATGAAAACCCTTTTTTTCAGAGAGTTGAAGACACCATTAATCGTACTTTTTTGGTTTAGATATATTATACAAATTGAAAATTTGTCAGGAGAAAAAGGAAATGTTGTTTTGAAGAGCACATGCATGGACCTTTCATTTTGTGAAGAAATATTAAGCGCGTTCTTCCCAACGGTAATATCTATTTTTTGCACTATATATCAACTGTGTCGTTCTCCATTTGATTCGACAGATTCTTGGCAAATCTTCCGCTCGTGACCATTCCACCTCGTACTTTTGGTGGACTCCCAAGTCTCAAATTTCTGTAAGTTTGATGTGGTTCGCATTTTGTTTTGGTTAATTGAAGAGTATGGGCGTCGCCGTAAAAAAACGGAAAAAAGACAAACAAAAGGGAAAAGAGGTGCGAAGCCAATTGCTGTTAATTTGATAGGGGGGGTAGGGCAAATGCTCCCCTGCTCACGCTCGGAAAAATGATGAATTGAGAACATGATGAAAAAGTTAAGGAATTTTGGGGAACAAATTTGCTTTGCCCCCCCCCTTGGAAAAAAATCCTGGCGACGCCCATGTTGAAGAGTATATACTGCAAGCTCTATTTGGATCTTAAACTATATCTATATAGGACCCGATCTCACTCTCACCAGAGCTAACGTTAACTATTGTATAAAAAGGGGTTTTTCGGTCATTTCTTTTAAATTTGGTTCATGCAAAAAAGGTATGTAATGGACATTTGCGATATTTCAGTATTATTTATAAATACCTTGGATAGTTTACCCATTCCCATTGGTCGAGAACCCGTCACGGGACCGGTCTTATGATAAAGACATGGCTGGCTGGTCTTAAACAATTGTCCTGTGTCACATGAAATACCGTTTTATTGGTTGAACGTCGCAATCCTCACGTACGTTAAAGCCAGAGTCCATCATTTGCAGCTATCCAAAAAGTAACTGGCGTATTATTGTTGAAAAACATACTTGGATGAAATATAGTAAGGAACTAAACGCCCTGTGAAATTATTCTTTCTGGCAAGCTGTCATTTTGAAGAAATCAACGAAAGAAGGCACAGTTGGACATTTCTGTTAGTAGTTTGGTTTTTTTTTATTCGGCGAAGCGCACGCAAGCGTTGACACGACGCACACGTCCGCGCGCGGTTGCTATAATTCGTCGGATCAGTGCGCGACATCGCGTAGCTGCAATTGGCTCAGTGAGAACATGGAGGAAGAAAATATTTTTTATTTTCTTCCTACATGATGAGAACGTGTCTCGGACGCTGAATTCAAGCCCAATTCAAAACATGATTCAGCAACTTTTTATTTGAAATCAAGATGTTGTTTTTCTCGAAATATATATCTGAATAAAGCTGAGCTGAAACTTTATAAGGTTAGCTGTTCAGCGCCCTTCTTTAGAATTTGAGCACTATAGTTGCTTTAAACGAACAAAATGCACAAATTACAAATGATGGACTATACCTTTAAGGTAGTCTGGTTCCCAGACCAAAAGATTCTGACTATTCCTGATGAATCTTAGGTCCGGTAGCCTCCGGTAATACATTGTATTACAATTTACATCACGTGACTAAAACGGGAGGAATTCCTCCTTTTTTCCCGAAAATTTCCGAAGTTTGCCGAAGTCGTTTCGTCGACAATCGGATAGCGCCCGAGTACTTCCGAGTATATAATATATTATAATATAGGTTTAATTAACTGCTAATTGCTTATTAATTGTATTTCAAATGAGTTGATAATTAATGTTCATTGCTTTCATTTGGAAAACCTGAAATTCAACGATGATTTTGTGCATCAAATATACTCGGATCGTATGGCCGAACTTTTTGCTGCGTCATGTACAATTTTGAATTTGACGACCGTTACCGAGATTTTCCAAAACTCGGTCTTCATTCGGGCTCTGCATGATAACAGTGCTATTTGGATGCCTAATTTTGAAGATTCCAGATCAACATTAGTCAATGTTATCTTACAGAAACATCAAACTGTATTATCGTAACTGTATGATATTACAAAGCAAGTGATTTATTTTAAAACTTTGATCAGAACATTAAAAGCTACAAGCGATAACGCGAAATCGGAAACGAAACCGAGCTCTGAAAAAGGGCCCTCAACGCCGTCATGTTTGTTTTTAGTCACGGAGGCTGCCTGACCTAAGATTCATCAGGAATAGTCAGAATCGTTTGGTCTGGGAACCAGACTACCTGTAAGGATGCGCAATACTACCAGTGAGTCAATATTTCATACAAGGAGTGTGTTCGATTACTTCCCCCGCACTTACTCGTGCAAGCGCGACAGCGTTCGATTTACCTACTTGCTTGCAGTACGTGTTTTCGAGATCATTCGTCCACGCCTTCTCGAAAATACTAATTTCCTTTCCAGTTTGTCCATATTAATACTAGTATACTGCATGTTGTCTCAATAAGATCGTAACAGTTTAATTTTTAAAAATCGTAACTCTCGCCGTGCTCGTGCTGCGACGAATTGACTCTGTTTTACCGCAGACACCGCATACAAAAACAAACGCTAATGTAAAGCATATCCAAGGCACCACACTATTCCTCATTTGCATACGTGTGCAAAAATCTTGCACGTGCAAATGATCCAATACCAGGGTGAGAGAGCAGGTAGTGATGGGCGCGTAATGTTCGACACCCTGGGGACGAGGTTAGCCTGACCTAAGATTCATCAGCAATAGTCAGAATCTTTTGGTCTGGGAACCAGACTACTTTTAAGGATGCGCAATGCTACCCTTGAGTCAATATTTCATACAAGGAGTGCGTTCGATTACTTCCCACGCACTTACTCGTGCAAGCGCGACAGCGTTCGATTTACCTCTCACGTTACTTCTCGCGCTTACTTGAGCCGACTCGCCGAGTTGGATCGCCGAATCGAGCCATGCAATAAACATGGCTGCCAACGTGCATGGGCGCTATTTTTTTCCATACCACACGCTGTTAGTATAATATAGAATATGCTGGAGGGCCCTATAATTATATGCAATAGTATAATGTTTAATACTACCACATCGATCGAGTCACTGCTGAAGTGTCATGGATACTACATTGGCTTACGAATCCGATGGTGCGAGTTCGATTCCCATTGGATGTTTCTTGTGGTTTTGGAGGATTTTTTTCAAGGGAAAATTAAGTCCGAGAACCTGACTTGCAACTCAACGTAACTTCGAAATACGCCCATATGCATGTGTACTGAAAAAAAATCTTTCTTTTTTTCCAAACGGCATCCGCTTTCCATCGTCTGATTGGTCCATTATACATGCATATCTAATGCCTTGTTCTCCATAACACAACCCCAAGACAGGCTTTACGTCTAGTGAGAAATGTTCCTTCCTCACTTTACTTATTTAAAAGGTAAAATGAGAAGAAGTGAAAACGCTCACTGAGATTCGAACTCGGATCACCTGATAAGAAGTCAGGACTTCTTCCGATTAGAAGTCAGGACTTCGTCCAAGCAGGCCCCTGTTCAATGTTGTCTCTCATTGCGCGGTGTGTGCTCCATCAGCTGGGGAGAACAACCGGGGGAGCGGGGGAGTGGGTGACCGTGGCAGGCTGCGTAATATTTTTTCCCTAGGAGGGTTAGGGGCAATGTCATGAATAATTCAGTTTTCCCTTTGAATCATTGCAAGACTTAGGTTCTCGTTCTATTTTCCCCTTAATTTAAAATTATCTCAGTGATAAATTTGGAGAAGAAAAATAGCTGACGAAAATGAGCAGCGACGACGTGGATTCGAACCAGGGATCTTTGTATCCATAGCTCATCTCGCTATCCACTAGGCTACTGTGTGGTAGCTCGCGACAACCGTTTTTTAAAATGCTTTAATGTATTGTAACTAGTTGAGTAACTAACAACAATGCTGTTGATGTCATTGTCCGTTCTCATGGATAAACATGAATTATTCACGACATTGCCCCTAACCCTCCTAGGAATAAAAATTACGCTGGCAGGCTCAGGAAGTGTCCAACCATTTTGGCCGGGAGTCAGGGTGACCGTAAGGTCATGGCAAAATTCTGCTAAATGCGCTTCAAAAATCTGTCAGCAAAAATATGCCAAATTCCCCAGATTTCCGCGAAATACACTAGAAACCCTTAAAATCACATGCAGATATGTAGTGCTGCCTTAATTAAGGTTCAAATTACATAATTAACAATCTATAGTCACATAAAGATGTTTTGAAATTATTGGGTAAATTTCAGGCAAAACGGGGATGCGGCGTTAAGTCAGGTTCCCAGTAAATCTCAGCACCTAGACCAGCCAACCTGTTCCATTTATCCAAGGATTTGTTTGAAAAGATTGATGATTTTTTAAACAAATGTATCATTTTTATTCAAATTTGCTATGGTTTTTAGCTGTTTATCACCATTTTTGCAGAATTCTGCCAGAAATCTGCAAAAAATATCCATTCTGTCAAATTTTCTGTCAAGCTCGTTTTTTTTTTGACAAAAAAATCTGTTAAAATTAGCCGAAAATCGGCTAAAACGGTCACCCTGCCGGGAGAGTCTGAATGTATTATAGCCTTGATGTTAGGATTTGGACATTGCGCGTATTACGCCCTCAAATAACAATACACACGCACGCGCGCTGGTTTCATATAATTATATACAACATGGTCAACGTCATCACGCGAGGAGCTAGGTGCGAGTAAGCTGGGGGAGTAATCGAACGTACTCAAGGTTTAAGACTGATTAGCGCCTCGAATGCTGATAATTACCCTCGGTTTCGCCACGGGTAATTTTCAGCATCCAGACTCCAACCAGTCTTAAACAAAGTGTTTAATACCTTCCAAGCACACATTTATTACCCTATCAATTCTCTGACTTGGGGAAGACACAGTATTGATTTATTTAAAAAAAAATATGTAACAGATCGTAATAACTACTTCCAATGTGTTTTCAAACGAAATAATACATGTATATATGTTTGCAATGTGACGTCGTTGGAATGTATAGTAGAAATTGCTGTCCCGCGAAAAGTAATCCCCAAACAAAGGTACAATATGAACAAGTTATAAACTCAACGACCATTATTTTATGGTTTTTATCATAAATTGTGGAAGTCAGTGATGCATGACCAGAGGAATGCATCCATGATATAATTGGAAAGTTTACCGCAAAGTAGTTTCTGACCACCATAATAATGGTCATATTGTTCATAGTTTGGTCATATTATTTGGTTATATATCCCTTTGTTTTGTGATCAGGCCCATATTTTCCGATAGGCACAGTAGGCACTGTAGGCACTGTGTGCTATAGGGCCTACGAAAAAAATCGGGGGCCTCCGAAAAAAAGAGGGCCTACGAAACATTTACCACTGTGTGCCAACAGGCTTTTAGAGCTACCAGTTTGGACTGGCTTGCTAGTTAGTAGGCCTACAGCTTACAACTTGAAATTGGTACCTGTGCCTAGTATGCCTAGGGCCTACGAAACACTGAATCCAGCCCAGTTGTGATACCTTTCTCTGAAAGGACACCCTGTGTATTTCAACTCTGTTCATTCTTTACTTGATTTGACAGTTGGCTGCAAAGTGTTCCTGTAGAGTCGATTCCTGCAGACACGTTTAGCGGGCTGTTAAGTCTTCAAACTCTGTAAGTTTGAAATGGCACTTGTTTTATTTTTGATGTCACTGCAGCGGAGAGTGCAATCTCAATTTGCATATTTTAAGATTTGGGAATCAATCTGACTCTCTCTACCCGTAATCATTTTCTTTCGGGTTTGATCCTTAAAATAGCTGGTAAATTAAGACTTTAATCAGGGGGTAATCAGGTACTTTTTATTTTGATGAGATAATAAAACTGTTATTGTCGTAATGTTGTGGGTTTAAAAGAAATTGGGAAATCAATTCTTCTCACGTAACTTTGCTCATGTATTATTATTGATTTAATAAAGAAAGCCAACGTGTGATTTTTTTATATTCTAATTTTAAACAGTCAAACTAAAAAAGCTGTTCAGCATTGTTTTATTTGGATCGTTGGCATTTACGGCTCCTTTTAAGTAAAGTTTGCAGATTTCAGTTGTTGCTAAATTACTTTAACACCGACATAAATTATCCAAATATTACAAAAGAACCGCTAGTCTTAGTGGGTTTTGTAAAGACGTTTTAAACCAAGGCTCATGTCGTGCTAAAAAGAAACATTAAAAACAAAATAATAAAAATCTTTCAAATTTTCACCAAGTACTGGGTAGGCTATGCTGGGCTGATATTCTGCAAATATCTGATAAGAACTTATTCCTAAAGCCAATTAGACATGGCGATTTCCCATAAATAAGTATTTTTATTATTTATTTTTATCGTTAAATTATCATTGATTGCAATTCCAGAAAACTGGTAAAAGATGTCAAAAAGATTTCGCAAAACTTATAATTATCTGCAAACTGAAGAGAAAAACTGATGTTTTTGAACGAGCCCACAATACTAATTGTAAGTTTAGGCTATCAAATATAAATTTGCAATCTTGAATACAATTTTTAAAACTAGCTCGAGGCTTGATGGCTCGGAGGTTGAACAGATGACACGTTTGAAAGAGAATTAACGTACGAACGAAAACAGTATAAGCCGGTTACGAGAAGGCATATCTTGGTAAAGTGTCAATTTTCCTGTCATTTTTCCAGTTTCCTGCGTAACATATCAGACACGTTGACTAAGCTTGATAAGGTCGCCCCTGATGGGTTACCAGCCTTGCAAGAAGCGTAAGTCATTGAGTTGCTTTTCAAATAACAACAATTACAATAGTTTTTTTATCAAACACGAATGATGATGCTGCCTGGGAAAGTCTTCCGGCACCCAATTCTTGAGAGCGTCAAATGCTATGTGCAGTAGGCCTACTGACACGAAAATCTTAATACATTGTGTGTAATGTTTAAAAACATTTAATTCATTTAATTTTCAGACACGTTGATGACTACCGTCTTTGCTGTGCCTTATCCAAGTTGCATCACTTTTCGATCGAGCAAAACTGTTCAACTACAAAGCCTCAACCAGATTTGAAGCTGTGCGACAGCCTTATGCCAAATGACATACTACGAGTGGTGTTGTGGGTATTGGGAATAAGCGCCCTTATTGGTAATCTGACTGTCCTGATTTGGAGACTTAAACAGAAAGGGGACGGAGGGGGTAAAAAGACGCTCTCACGTATGGTTGGACATCTGGCAATCGCAGACTTCATGATGGGTGTGTACATGATAATCATAGCTGGGGCAGATCTTGCGTTTGGCGAGGACTACTTTCTTGTGGCCCCTGAGTGGCGCTCCAGCATGTTGTGTAAAGTTGCTGGAGTTCTGTCAGTTCTGTCCAGTGAGGCATCCGTGTTTTTTGTGACACTCATCAGCTTTGACTGCTTCCTAGGCATTGTGTTTCCGTTGAGAAACTTCTCTCTTGGGGGAAAATCAACAACAACTATCATTGCTGTCTTGTGGTTTCTGGCACTTTGTCTGAGCATCGTGCCAACACTTTCAGTTGGGTCTGATTCTGATATATATGGACTTTCGGATGTTTGTATCGGCCTTCCTCTTACCACTAAGGCATCTGATGTGAGAAACGAGACTCTTTCTAGGTTTAAATATTCCTTCAGATTACCTGTACTCGACATTAAGACTTCTGTATCCACAGGTGAGAAGCCATCTTGGATCCTGTCAATCGTTCTCTTTCTTGGTGTCAATCTGGTTTCATTTCTTATTGTCCTGAGTTGCAACGTCGCCATCTTCATCAGTGTCAAGCGGACGACCAGGGCTGTCCGAGCGAATGCCCACAGGGAGCGTGAAATCAAAATGGCGGCCAAGATGGCGTTGATCGTGATGACGGATTTCTGCTGTTGGATGCCAATAATCATCCTGGGGATTCTGTCTCAGACAGGAACAGTCGCTCTATCCACCGAGGTGTATGCATGGGTTGCGGTTCTGGTTCTGCCAATCAACTCGTCTCTCAATCCTTTGCTTTACACTTTCTTCACAGTTTGTTTCGCGGCTAAACCAAAGGCAAAAACCCCGAAAGTGAATCAGCGCATACAGTTGTCTGTTATTGCAAAGTAATTCATACCTAAAAGGATATGGATATAGCCGTGGCTTTGAGCTGCGCAAAAGACATGGCGAAATCGAACCCTGGTATCAAGGCCAAGCATATTTTAGTTTTTAATCAACTGCTCATTTACATACTGTGGAACACTCTCAAAACGCTGATAAAATTGTGTTGGTTAAAAAAGTTGGTTAAAATTTTAACCAACGCTGTGTAAAATTGTCCAATTTTGCCCAACGTTTGCCCAACGTGTTGGTTATTTTTTTTTTAACCAACCGTTGGGCTGTTCACCTGTTAAGCAACAGTTGGTTAAAAGTAGTCCTTTCACCCAATACTGGTTAAATGTACCCGATTTTAACCATAGTTGGGTAAAATGACTACTTTTAACCAACTGTTGCTGCTTAACAGGTGAACAGCCCAACGGTTGGTTAAAACAAATTAACCAACGTTGGGCAAAATATGCCCAACGTTGGGTAAACGTTGGGCAAAATTTGACAATTTTGCATAACGTTGATAAAATTTTAACCAACTTTTTTAACAAACAAAATTTTAACCAGCGTTTTGAGAGTGAATGACTGACGACGATGATTTACAAAACGATTTCCCCGATTAAGTTGACCAAAAACATTCGTAGTTGTCATGACGTGTGTTGTTCAGATGTTGTTGGAAACTTCGCATTTTGTGCAACATCACGCGTGATTATTGGTCGTGTTTGTTCAGGTTTGGAGGTTTTTTCCGTCAATTGTTTCTGAAGAAATAGGCGCGGGGAGGGGACGATCAAAGCTGTCACCAGGTCAGGACACATTCAATGAGGGCGCTCAGGGAAGTAGGCGCTTAGGGCCTAGACCCATAAAATCAACTCCGCCATTGTATTACTTGATAATGTAAGCTTAATTTTTTTTAATTAAGAAAACATTGTTTTTGTTTTTTTGTTTTTTACAAATGGTACAGATTTAATAAAGGGGCCATGCGATGAATTTTACAATGATGCATGCATTCGGCGAACATCCTTTATACGCTTATGATACATTAGTATGTTACTAACTGATGTAACTTGTCAATTAAAAAGGCCATGGTATGTCAACTGAGCGCGCTCCTGGCTTCAGGCAAACAACTTTACAGTTTTGAAGATAGTTAATGCAAAATGTAGCCCATTAATTAAAAATAGTGGCTGTGTCTAAAAATAGCTCATTGACTTTCTGTTGGATACTTAATCAACAAAGAAATTAATGCGAAGGATTGACACTAAACTGAACCGAAACACCAGGCAAGTTTAAATGCTGAATTAGTATACATTGCATATATACTTCCAGCTACGAATACTTATTTTGCTTGTGAAAATTTGCATATATAGCCAAAAAAAGCAGGATTATAAGAATATTCGCATAGACCTTCATAATTGTAAAGGACTTTTTATTTTTTTTATGCAATCCTTGAAAATACATCTTTGTGTCCCATTTAACACTTATTTTCAATTTTTGATTTGCCACTTTCAAGGGCAGTTTGTTGCCTTTTTTGTATTTATGCTATTGCCAATTTCCATATTCATGAGTACAAGACACTGTGATGTCATTTCAGGCAGAAACCTCAATGTTACAGTTATTTCAGCACCAACAGTTGCCAGAATTGTGGATATTCTGCTGTCTTGAAATTTCTTTTCTATGATCACGGCTCGTTACTGTGTCAGTTCATGATAGTCAGCCATAGATCAAACATTTCACAACAGATGTTTTCAGTGAGCAATGTTATGGGTTCACAATTTGAACAGAAAAACCCTAAACTGAACAGTGTCATCCCAAAATGACATCGCAGTAACAGCGCCCTCAGTTGTTCTAAAAAGCAGGGACAAATGTACATATTGAAAGAAGTGCACTTTTCAATAAAATTAACCAAAAAGGGATGTAAAATAGTGTCTATACATTTAAGAAATGTGGAAAGTTGCACAAAATATGTTGCTAAGAAAAGTTCATATTTTAGCCCTTTAAACTCTTGTGAGAATATGTTTCTTTCATTCTAAACTTTGCATGAAGATTTACATTGCGAGAAGCTTGTGATTATTGGATTTGAAATAATTATGTTGGATGTTTATGTTGTATTCAAGTTAATGTAATTTCAATGTGACCATCGATTAATTAATGTACGATGTTGTAACGAAAATTACGGAAAGTTTCGTCTTGCGTACGTCTTTTGCTGTATAAAATGCCGAGGCAGAGTATTATCTGCATTCTATATATTTAATGACAATAATCAGTGTTAATATCGATTCTAAACTGTAAAAAGAAAGCACTAGAGGGGATTGGTTAATTAAAGACACGTGTAACACTTGGTACGAAATTTAATTCAGTTTCTGATGTGTGTGAGCTTAACCAACATTGATGAGAACAAATCTTCAGTGGTGTTGTTTAAGGCAAACACCTTACAGTTTTAAGGATTATAAATTCAAAATGTAGCCCATTAACCAAAAGTGGTTGCGCCTATAGATGGATAATAACTGTCGGACACTAAATCAACACAGGAATTAATACGAAGGATTGACACAAAAACTGAATCGACATAGTTTAAATGCTGAATCGGCTGTAACATATAGTGTATATATATAAAATTCACATTTAGCCCAAAAAATGGGGGAAATTAAAAAAAAAATTCGTACCTTCATAATGTTGAATTCTTGTAAAAACATTTTTTATTCTAAACTTTGCATGAAGATTTACATTGCGAGAAGCCTGTGATTACTGGATTTGAGATAAGGGCTGGACTTTTATGTTGTATTATGTAATTTCAATATGACCATCGATTAATTAATGTACGCTTATAAAACGAACAGTACAGAAAGTTTCGTATATCGTATGCCTTTTGCTGTATACAAATATATGGTTATTACTCGAGTCGATGTTAATAATGTGTTGATGTGCCGTGGCGTAAAAGTATATTCTTACAATAAATTATACATTTATTGACAATTGTAATAAGTGTCTCTATGTCGATTTTAAACTGGATAAGGAAAGCACTGCAGGTTCTTGGTTGAAGATACGTTTTACACTCAGTACGAAATTTAATTCCGTTTGTGTGAGCTTAACCAACACTATTGATGAGAAAACATTATTTGAAAAAAAAAAAAAATATTGAATAACACGTTTAATTGTCTGGTGAGGCTGATGTAAAATAAAAGCTGTTTAAAATGTAAAAAAAAAAGAAATGTGTTAGATTCATGAATTCAGAGTACCTCCAAATGTATGTCTAACCTCGTTTAGATGAAAGGACTACATCTGTGCAATGAAATACAAAGGAAGCTTTGATCCTAAATCGCTTTAAAAACAATTGTACACAATTAATGGATGGAGCTATGCCACTTTAAAGGGAAAGTATTTTGGAAAAGGATGTAATCTTCTAAAATATAACAACAACAATTTGATTCGTCTTTTAATCATTAACCTTTAATTTATCAATTAACGATGATGACAGTGATTTAAGGGAAACGCAAGGTATATATATATTTTTTAAATCGAATTGGAAAGAAACAACTTACGCAATACTTGGAAAGTAATTATTCTGTTTTAAACAACAAAACATCTTCCCAAACCATTAATAGCATCGTCTCAGATGGTATATCAAATAACGACGCTGCTGAAATTGCAAAAACGAAAGGCGGATCTACAACAACATGTTTCTAAAATTGTCAGGGGGCAACTGGCCAGGTAGTTGCTGCAATTGGGGAGGGGGAGGGCGGGGGGTGTCCAGAATCAATTTGACGTGGGTACTTTAATCCGTAGGCTGAAAGAGAATCGGGTTAAAACACTCGTATATCCTTCTTCTGGTTTAATATTGGGCGAGGGGCAAATTCGGGGCTGGGAATTTGTGGGGGAATGTGCCCCGCACCCCCCCCCCCCCGGCTACGCCAATGCATGCACGCAAAGGGTGCAGTGACTGTTATGTAACGGTTGCTGTCGATCTAGATATATCTTAACGCGTATTCGTGCAAGCGATACTCAACTTTATGACTGGCTTTATTGTTAAGCACGTGAAAGAAGAAAAACCGTGATGGAAACAAACTTCGATTTATCAATTATTTTGTTTTTATTAGAAATGGCAAAAAATAATATATTATTTTTTTCATCTGAACTCAGTGTAACTCTCCATCAGCCATATGTGGTTTGCGAAATACCGGCTCCATTTACATTCAGCCTCAGGAAAGTTATTTCTCCCCGATGTAAGAGATTTGTCTTACTGAATATGAGTCCTTGGTATTCCGCTTTACGAACATTAAATCGTTTAAGGCTAAAGTATATATATGTTTATTCATTACAGCTAAGCTTCGACACAATTAAAGCAAGGCATGAAGCCAAAACTGAAACGAAGTTGGAGTCCCCAAACACCATTGTTCTCCCAGAAAATAATGGTCCGGAGCTTGAGGGCGCTGTCATTTTTGTTCTAGCTCGCGCTGTACTGCACAACGTAACCTACTCTGATTTGACCATGGAGGAATAAGACTTGCTTTGCGAACAAAATGTAGTTTTTGTAGGTTTATTCAAACCTGAGATTCTACGTTCTGAAACAACTTAGAAGGTGAGTTATCAAATCCGTATCTGTTCAATTTCACCGTGTAATCACAACCAACATTTTTGTCAAAATCTGTTTCTCATGGACGAGGAAGGATTGAAGCTATGAAGGATCCTCGGCTCCGAGTCCAAGTTAAATCATGGAGGAAGGAATAGGATATTCCTTCCTCCATGGTTAAATCATGCATCAAGCTAGCCCCATAAATGTGGCCAATTTACTGGACTACCTCCGTAAATAAAGGCCACACTTCCACCATGTACAAAAACATGTCGAACTAATCAGAAAGTGCTGCCTTTTTCAGATGTCTATTTTTCGTGAAATTGCCAGATTCGTTTGCACACGTTTGCGTATCAAAATTTCAACATGAAATTTCACGAAAATTACTTAGACATCTGAAAAAAGGCAGCACTTTCTGATTAGCCTAGATAAAGAGGGTGAGTATGCTTCTAAAGCAAAAATAAACTACAAACTAAGCCTTAAATGTGAACATCAAAATTTGACAAAGTTCGACACCTTTTTGTGGAAAGATTTCCACATACGAAGTTCACTCAACACCCTGTGTACAAACCCTATGAGATTGGACTGAAAAATTCTAAGTGTTTTTTA